GAAGCCACAAGCGTTTTAGTTTTCACCACTAACACCGTTCAGTCGCCTGGTGGACGCAGTAGTTGGCCGTTTCTCGGCTAAACGTTCGCAGCTGCAGCTCTTCCTCGCCTGAAGAGTGCTGAAAGCCATTTCCAGGTCTTGCGATCTGGTTGGATAAAGCTGTAATTCAAGAAACCTTCTCGGAGGCTAATGTAAGGCCGACACCGATCTTCTGGCCAGCCAGATTGACGACCTTCCACAGGAGAAACTGCCGTAATGGCTTCCATGGCTTGCAGGCTTCTGAGCTCACAACGGGGATTCGCTTCTGCGTTGGCACGGCACGCCGAACCGTGAGCCGGGCCTCAGCTTTCCAGTCCGTCTCTCGCATGGCTGCAAGAGCAAGGTCTGTGAATCAGCTCTCGGTTGCCAACTCGAGCAGTGACAGCTATTGCCGACACGCATAGAGCAGCCGCACACGGAACGAAGCCGTCACGACGCAGCCTGGAGCTGCTTCAACACAACAGCCGTAGAACTTCCAAAAGGACCTTTGATCCGACTCCGGGGAACGTTCGCTATGCTTCCCGTCATGCGCAGCTGCACTTGATGCGTTGTGCCTGGGGCCGCTCTGCGAAGGTCGGGCGGAGCTCAATCTGTCAAGGGAAGGCGACAAGCCTGGCACAGGAGACCCATACCTGTCGGCTTAACATGGTGACGATTCTTTGGATGATGGTTCTGAATTGCTCCTTCTGGTCCATCGGACATTCATAACCAACCCTCCTCCACAGATCACATCCTCTGCACAAGACACCCTTACTCATCTGTGCCACAACGGGTCTATCTTTGTTTGTCCCTTCTCTGTCCGTCTGCGACCCTCCTGCCTGTTTGCCTGCTTGTCTCTCGCTTCTCTCGTTGCATCATGCTCCTTCATTTTGCTCGTCTTTCCCAAGGTGAGTTCAAGTCCCCTGTGCCACGACGGCATGCCAGATCGCAGCGTTGAAAGAGCGTGAAGAATCATGCATCTAGTGGCGACGTCATGCTGCGGAATACAAGCGGTTACAAGCTAATCTGAACGTGCATGCAGACAGACGAGCGACCAACTGGTGTGGGGGACAAGACTTCCGTCGATCGAGAGAGCAAGCAAAATCACCTTATCTGCATCTTTCTGCCAATGCTCTTTCGGTAGACTTCTGTCACTCTCTCTGTACCCTTCTCTCCCATTGATGCTCCCGTATCGCTGATAGCCCCATGGAGTTAAAAGCACTGGCCGAAGGCTGCACCTCCTATCGGCTGAATGAAGCCAAGGGCACCACAGGCCTTGCAGAAAACTCAGCATGCACTCAGGTCTACCAGTCAGTGCGGGGGCAGCTGCCGGTATTTCCCGGTTTGCTTGGGTCCACACACCGGCTATCGCTGCCAAGGAAGCGGCGAATAGGAGGCGCCGCGCCTGCACGGCAAGTTGCAAAGAGAGCGAATTATGCGAACATGTCGGGAACATTCGGAAACCCTGCACACATGATGCGAAAAGGCTGTTGCTGGTCTAGAACCTCGACTCAAAATCTGCCTGCGAGGGACAACAAGTGCACACAAACAAGAGCTTGCTGCGGCCTCGAACTTCTGTGATAGCATGGTCCCTGTCTACGAGAAACCGGCTCGAGCCAGATTTCCTGCAGTGATGTACATCGCTGCTACATGACACAAGCCTGGGTCCAAAAGGAATGGTAAATTCGGCAAAGTCAGCGGGGCTATGGAAGCATGCACCGGCTCCTTCCTGTTTTGTCAAAAGTGTTTGTTGCGCGTAAGGCTTTGTGAGACAGACTTCAGCACCTGCGGAGATTTGAAATCAGTTGCCGCAATTTTGTGCTGGTGTTCTCTGAGAATGAGACAGCTCTCAGTTGCTGGTCTGCTTCTGCATAGCTTCGTCTGGGATCGTCATCAGCTCGCCATAGGATCTTCAAATCAGCAATCAAATCGGAAATCGATGTCTCCGAGAATCGGTTCTGGAATGACTCTTGACGGAGGGCTCTGACCAGCAGCGACACCCACTTCTGACGCTGAGACTTCGTCAGTTCACGCACAACGTTAGTAAGATGCCTTGTGCATAGCATTGCCTGGATCAAGGCCTCTATGCTGATTTCGGCGGACTCTGGCAGCAGGTCTTCCATTCGGCCAAGCATGGTTTCGGCAATCAGCTGCCGCACAAAAGGCAGGCAACCAAGCCCATAGTTCGCCACAAGATAGTGCGCGGCGTTGCTCACAGGTTTATCCGTGTCGCAGCAATGCACAAACAGATCTCGAAGAATTGCGCTGACGATATCGTGGACATCAGCTTCTGGAAAATGGCTTCTGTCCATGCATGCCAGCGTCATGCACCACCAGCGGCCTGCGAAGAAATGTGCAGTTGGTGATGTGACCCGCTTTACGTGCATCATGCTTATAAACGGCCAAGGGACATTCGAAGAACTTCTGTTGCCTGACATCCTTTGCAAGCTCTGCATCGAAATCAGCGCCGCCGGCAGCTTTCCATTTTGCCGAAAAATCCAGAATTGACTCGGGCCTGCGAATCGGAACTCATTGTGAACGACTCCTGTGTGTCGCACAGACATTGCCCACAAAGTTGCGCCTGTCCAACCTGCCCATTTCGGACAGGTGCTGTATCAAGACCTCGGGTTGCACGAGAACGCCCTTCCTGAGTCTATGCGATGAATTACACATGGCTGGGTTGGACGAAAGCAGAACCGCACAAAGCTCCCTGCTCTGGGACTTCTGGTCTGGCAGGAAGTCACTCGCCACTCCATGAGGTCATCCACCTTCGGGTTCTTCCACTTGGGGATGAGTCCATTTCACAGCGCATCGTCGCAAGCCGCTGCTTTTGCAGACAGGGCTCAGAAAGGTACGGCAAGAGATTGAGCCTCAAGATTTGCTCATTCGAGGAGTCCTTTGCATGTGTTCTTCCTGCATGCTAATTTGGATGCCAAGCTTCAACACATCTTCTGAGGGGTCGAACAGGTCCAGAGTCTGTGGATGCTCGCCGCACCTTACTGCAAGTCTCAAGTAGCTGCAGCAGGCGGATGCGACAAACGGCACGAAACAACATCTTGCAACCCGGCAGCTCTTCCAGGCCATCCTGCGATGAGCCCGACCGGGTGGAGGCAGAGCCCCAGCTCTTGCGCTTGTGCTCAGCCTTCCGCAGGCGGCATTCCGGGTTTAGAGCTGGTGCGCAACCGACTCACGGAGACCTTGACATCCCTGGCACGGGCTGTCAAAGCATCTTTAGCAGACCTGGGCTGCAGGCACCCCATGCCATGAAAAGCAAAACTTAGTGAGACCCAGAAAATGCACGTGGGGAACAGCTCCCGCTGTCCAGCGGACTTAAGACGAGTGTCTGAGGCTGCAGACCAAAGCTTGCACTGGTCGGCGTCCTTATCGGAGACCGAATTCGTGACCTCAGGCCAAGAATGGCAGTGCGGCTGTCGAAGCTTGCCGTGAGTCAAGACCAATCCAATTTCCATCGCCAGCTCTGAGAACAGTGCTCACCAATCTCCGCGGCGGTGTCCAGCAAGGCAGCAGGCGGCAAAGCTGGCTGCTGTGGATGCTCATTGCGGTCTGAAGTTTCGCCGCACCTCACGGCAAGTCTCAGTCTCAGAGAGCTGAAGCAGAAGTACAGCGCAGCACACCCTTTTTGCAACTCGGCAGCTGCTCTGCCAAGCCATCCTCCCATGAGCCCGACCGGGTGGAAGCGGAGCCCCGAACCAGTGATCTCAGGCCACGAATGCCACTGCAGCTGTCGCAAGTTTGCCGTGAGTCAAGGCTAGGCTCTGACTAGGAGCCATGCAAGGAGTCAGATTGCATCATAAGCTCTGAGGACGGTGCTGACCACTGTCTGTGGCAATGTACACCAAGGCATCACCCGGAAATGGTTGTGGACACTCATTGCGATCTGAAAGTTCGCTGCACCTTACTCCGGTCGTTGGCGAAGCGGTCGAGCATAGTAGAACTGAAGGCTAGCAGACAACTGAAGCAAACTGCCTGGACGCAGCATCGCCTGCCACATCCAGCTGCTTGGAGAGCTCCAGCGCCACCTGCTGCACGAAAAAGAGCTGGACAGTGTGCTGGTATTGCCTCGGAAATAGCTGAACCATCACGGCATCACGGTCTTGCGAAGCATCGCTCATGTGTGCCAGGGCACGTCCAGGTTTGCAGCTGCTGCATCACCCCGGAGTGATGGCACATCTCAAACGACGTGTTGCACATCTTGGCTAGGGCTGCAGCAGATCGCAGGAACATGGTGTATCATCGTATTGTCATGTGCGAACGCTGAGATCTGTGTTGCTCCGCGTGCACTATGTGCTGCATGAGCCAGCTGCGGCCGTCAACATGCTAAGAAGGCATCTCTGCTGGCTGTCGGCGACTGCAATCAGGATAAAAGACCCACTTCGATGCCTTCGCCAGGCTGGGGCCAGGCTGACCACGTATGTGCCAGTTTGGCACGACAAGTCGTCATACAGATGTGCAGAAACATATCTTGTCGATATTGCGCTCAACATGGCAGCTGCTGAAGTGCAAAGACGGGCCCTCTTTTTACAAGCTCGGATATGCGCATCTGTGCCCATGCGGGCTTTGCCTGCGCCTTTGTTCTTCCAAAGCTTCTTTCCTGGCCACTATCAGGTTCACGACTACTCGCAATCTGCATTTTGGAACCCCTGCCTTCCTTCATCTAAACGTCGGAAGCTGCAGCTGTGCCTCTCCTTAAGAGTCCGGAGCACGCCGAAGGCCCATTCCCAGGTCTTGCCATCTGATTTGGATTCAAGAAAACCTTCTCGGAGGCTAGTGTAAGGCCGACACCGATCTTCTGGCCAGATTGACGACCTGCCACAGGAGAAACTTCAGAGATCGTGTCCAAAGGCTTGCAGGCTTCCGCGGCTGCTGAGCTCACAACGGGGATTCGCTCCTGCGGCGCGCCGGGCCTCAGCCCCCCAAGTTTTTGCTGTGCCGTCTCTCACGTAGCAAGTCACTGCTCAGGTCTGTGAATCTGCTCCTGGCTGTGACAATGCCAGCTCTCGGTTGCCAACTCAAGCAGTGACAGCTATTGCCGACACGCATAGAGAGAAGCTGCACACGGAAGGAAGCCGTCACGGCACAGCCTGGAGAACAGTCGCAGAACTCCCGAACCAGACCCTCACGAACCGGTGATCCGACTCCAGGAAAGGTGCAGAGACCTTCCCTACGCTTCCCGTCATGTGCAGCTACACTGGGTACGTTGTTCCTGGGGCCGTGGCGGAGCTCAATCGCCCAAGGGAAGGCGACAAGCCTTCCACAACCGACACCTGTTGGCTCGACATGGTGACGATTCTTTGGATGATGGCTGTCACTTGCTTCTACTAATCAAAGCCTCTGCACATCACACCCTGACGCATCTGTCCCACGATGGGTCTCAGGGTTGAGGGCAACTTCGAACCCCATGTGCCGCGAGGGCACGCCCGATCGTGGGCTTTCATTCTAGACGGCGTGAATCATGCAACGTGTACCGATGTCATGCTGCGGAACGCAATTGAAAAAGGCAGCAGACTTTGGTCGATCGAGAGTGCCAGCGAACTAACTTCACCTCTATCTTTCTGCCGGTTCTCTGAAGACTTCTCCCCCTCTCTGTATGTCCTTCACTGCCATTGACGCAAAGTCATGTTCTCAGCCTACCAACATGACATAATTACTTAGTTTTATCGCTGAGTGAAAAGCACAAGCCCAGAGCAGCTGCACCTCGTATCAACACGCAGAAAACTCAGAGTTGGACCCGGAACCAGCGAAAAGATTGTGCGAGCAAAGTCAGTTTAACAAGCAAAAGCAAACCCGCGCAGACGCAAAACAAACATCAAAAGCAGCAAGACTGAAAGACGCTGAAAAAGAGGGTCGGGCTGCAGGAAGCGGCAGGTCAGCCATGTCAGCCGCTTGGCATTAAACACCAACAGCTCAAAACGAAGGTTCCGAGGCGCTTACACCTGTCCCGTTGTAAAATCCTCAAATGCCTGTCGAGTCGTATTGAGCCGAACAGTCAGGTTTGCGTGGCGTCCGCACTCACCCCTAGATCTGGATATCCTTATAGAAATTGGAACGGTGCCGGCCTCGCCTTTTTCATGAGCCTATCTGTGCAGGCCTGACTACGAAGCCGCTGCGAGAGGTCCATTCCCGAAAGAGCAGTGCTTGTGGCGGTTGTGCACAGCAGATGCGACTCTCCGCGCATGCGTCGTAGTTTCAGCATTTCGCATGTCGCGAATAGATTTTAAGCCCCGAAACCGGCTCAAGCGGATTGGACAGAAAAGCGTGTCAACTGTTCGAGACCTGCTGCCATGGTGTTGGAGAAGAGCCCGCTGCACGTTTCAACTTCCAGCTAGAATGCACCTGTAACTGTGACACATAGAGTCATAGAGCGTCTCTGTCACTGCGTAGCCTTGGTTCTCGACTCGATGATCGCCGAACGCTACAGGTGCCGTCTCCAGCGGTGGAGGCTGTCTGGGTGCTGCGGCAGCCGTGACCGTCCCAAACATCCCAAAAGCTAAACCTGGTGCGAAATGGAACACTCCATCCCTTATGCCAGCACCATCTGACACAGTTCTGAGATCAGACCCCCACGGCAGGTGGCTATCATCTGCGGAACGAATAAACTGATCATTCTGCCTCATCCGAAAGCAGCTTCGTGGGCATGTCCACCAGGTCTCCATCCTCAACATGGCATGCCAGACGTCCAAAGCTCAAAAGTCCGTTCTGCCAATTCTCAAAAGATGTCTAAGATGGACAGCTTGAGGGAGTGGCTTGGTCGATGCCATGCTGCGGTCGTTCTCATCTCGCAGCCTGTGGCTGGCAAATGCAAGCGGCTGGCACTGCTCGCATAGTGCATGGCAAACGACAAATGTTGAACTCGATCAGAGAACTCTGTTCCGGAAGCTCAGAGCGAACTTTTTCCTCCACCCTTGTAGTGCCAGAATCGGTACCCTGCATGCTCTGTGCAGCTGAAAGCCGATACTTGGCGGCTGAGACAGATATTCTGCCAGCGCCAATGGCTACAGCCCCAGGCACTCGGTCCACGAGAATTAGGGTGAGGAGGGCGGGTGAAATCGAAACAGGATCTCGAGCACAGCAGCTGCATATTCTATGCATGCTTGTCTGGCTCGAGAATTCATTTGTCACACAAGACAGAGAGTCTGGACCGACAAATGTTGAACTCGATCAGAGAACTCTGTTCCGGAAGCTCAGAGCGAACTTTTTCCTCCACCCTTGTAGTGCCAGAATCGGTACCCTGCATGCTCTGTGCAGCTGAAAGCCGATACTTGGCGGCTGAGACAGATATTCTGCCGCCTCGTCTCCGCCCGCTGCCCGCATCAAGTAGAGGCCAAAGCCCCTATTCAAAAGCCCAGGACAGATTGAGCAGATCACCAGGGGCGCCTTCCAAGGCGTATTCCAAATCAGTGGCCACGCGCTTGAAGATGGGCCAAAAGGCATCGGCCTCGTTCCGCAAGACCGACCAGCCACGTTCATGGCCAATCGAGCAATCACCCCTGGAAAAAGGATCCGCCAGATTGCAATCGCTTGGGACCCATTCAAAGTGTGGTTGCCAACCCAGCCGCTGAGCTACCGCCCAAAAGCAAGCCAGCAAATTGTTGATGTTGGCGTCACGGCCATAGCCTCGCACCAATGCAGCCTTGCCGGCAGTGTTGTCGCAGAAACCGATCCAGCACTGTGGAAGTATGTCGCGGCATGTCAGGGCCGCGATGACCTGTCCGAAGATCTCGAGGCAGTAGATGTAGGCTCGCCGAGACGTGAACAAACACAACACGTCTGAAGGAACAGTGCCACTAGCGAAGCGTGTAGTGGAGCCGCTCCGGACCACGAAGCCCCAGCCATTCTTATATCGCCGAGAGCTGGTGGAAAACCAGGAATCAGGAGGTTCATCCGATAGGCCGAATTTGCGATCGCCCAGTTCAAAGAAGGCGTCGGCGTACAGCACTGCAGAAGCGTGACTCTCGGGGTTAAAAGGCACCCAACGAGGTTGGGCGTGCTGCAGCAGCGACTTTAATGAAACCAGAGAGCACCGCAATGGTCCGTTGAGTTGCGCGTGGTCTTGATCGTTGCGATCGTGAGCTCTGGAATACAAGGGCTTCATAGCCGAGGCAGCAGCTTGGCCGAACAGCGTGGTGCAAAGAAAATTCAATTTGCCAGTGAGCCGCTGGGCAACCACTGGCTCCAAGATATTCTCTTCCAGTGCCGCCTGGATCATCTCCAACACCTTACTGACGCGATCGGGCGCCGGTGCCAAGCGAATGCCTTCCGCCGTAATCTCCAGCAGAACGCCCAACAGTTTGTGTTTGCTGGCCGGTGGTTGAGCTTTAGATGGTTTGAGACGCATACCTAAAAGATCACACAATGCAGAAAAGAATCGAAAACTGCTGGAGGCACTGTGCCCGGCATCGGGGCATCCAATGTCGTCGACGAAATGAATCAGCAATATAAGTAAGAGGCTTCTTGCCAGAAAAGTCAAGGCATCAACGCACTTGTTGAAACACCAAACCGAAGAAGCACCCCCGAACGGAAGAACCCCATGCTGCCACAGGCTAGGGCCCCACGGGGTGAGTATCAGCGCAAAGGCATCAGAGGGCCTTTCAAGAGGGAACTGCCTGTATGCTGCCCACAAGTCCTGACACCAGACCTGGGTTTCATGACCTGCGGCCACCAAGCGAAGCAAAATCTGCACGTAGCGATTGATGTCATCATGCGCGGGAATATCCTGAACATGTATAGTGCTGTTATGACCACTGCGGCGATAGTCTTCACATCGACGAACTTTGCGGGAGCCATCACTGCCCTGCTGAACAACTGAAAAAGCGTTGGCGACCCTGACTTCGCCCTGAAGCTCAAGGCACTCGGTGAAGCCGCTATGTGAAGCTATTGGAACACACTGTCGCGGCCAGTGTGCGGGAGCCCGATACGGCCCGGTCATGCGTCCAAGCTTGACTTCTTGAATGACCTCAGTCAGAAGTGCTTCCCACTCGGGATCCACACGTCCCTGCAACAGCTTCTGGCGCACATACGCCTCGTTCAGATCTCGGAAAGCTTCCGCCGAAATTGGATGATCGTATCTTTCATCTAATCTCGGCCTCCAGCCCGGCGACGGGTCGACCGGACCCAGAACCGGAAAACCACGAGACAAAGACGCCTCGAGAGCATCAGCATCTGGATAGCCACAACCTCGGAGCAGCGATATGAATAGTGGGATCTGCACTATATCCCCGTCCGGTAGGCTGTATGCTGCCTGGACATGTGTTGGCAACGAATCGAACCAAACCCGTGTAGCGCCCTGCATCTGAACCTTGCGTGCCGCAATGTCGCGAATCACTGAACCCCGAAAATCTGCCAGCTGATCCGCGGGAAATCTCAAAAGCCTTTGAAGCGTGAGCTCAATGGCTGGGTCAAGGTGGGGCCTCTGATACAATGGGTGCACCGCACTCGCAGACAACTCCCAGTGTTCCCACATGTCGCTTGCAGGTTGCATGTCTACGTGATCGCACATTTCAGGCTGCCTCTGCATGGACAACGGATGTTGACCGGCCAGCTTCTCAGCCGACGCCAGATCTCGAAGCTTCGAGACGTCAAGCGCTTCAGGTGCGCAAGGACCGGGCAAGGTCCTGACACCATACATGAGTGAGAATCGCAGGATTTCCGTCGCGACACCTAGGTGCCAGGAATTCCCTAACAATCTGTGTCGGTCTTTCTCCCCGACATTGGGAGAGGCAGAGTAATCGCGATCAAAATGATGCAAAGCTTCTTTGGTCTCAATGGGCAACAGATGTAATTTCTGCTGACTATCCCGTAACATCGCAGTCTCCGCGAAGAACCAAGGAGCCCATTGCCGACGACCCTCGATCCACCTGGCACGGGTGAAAACCAGATGGTTGTATGTCCGCCAGGGAATCCTTGGGAACATCCAAAACGATCCGAGGGAGCTTGCCATGCTTCTGCCAGCGAACCTCAGTCGACCGACCAGGGTACTGCCGCGCAGAGGTCCAGTCCGTCCACGACCACCAAAGTCGTGGTCTGTGAATGGCCCCGTAGTCCGCAGCATCAGCGAGGATCACTTCAGCGTTGAGGGCTTTGCAAAACCACTGGATGTCGGCAGGGTTCTGCATCTGAACATTTTCCGCTAGGAGACAAGCTTGTCTTCCCGGCAGCAAATTCATGAGCTCTCGCAGAAACTCTGTAAACTTGACAAACAAGCTGCCGGAGCTCCCTGATCTGCCCGGGCCATCCGCTCGAATGCGGCTGTAGTCTGGGCACGGTGCTGCAGCAGTGATGACCAAGGGATCGGCTGCGCCTCCATTGATTTGCTCTATGGCTGCCGCCGCCGCTGCCGGCGAATCATCCAACAAGCTGCCTCGCTGGGACTTGGTGGTCCTTCGCGAGGCTTTGCGGGCCACTGCGATGGCCGCGGCATCGACCTCCCAGGACATGACATGCCTCACTGATATCCCCAATCTCCCCAGTGCCAGCGTAGCCGAGCCGATTCCCGAGAAGAAGTCGAGATGAATGACAGAAGCCGGAAGGGACCCTGCCGGTGTCGCCGTCGCCGTCGCCGAGGAAGCCGATGCAACCTTCGGTGTTGCCGAGCTGCTCGCCGCTCCGCTGCACTGCTGAGCAGAAGAGCCTGAACCTAAGGAAGGAATCGGGGGGGGAGGCGGAGGCGCGCCTCAGCCTGTGTTCCAGCTGGAATCGCCCACCATCCTGAATCCCAGCCGCCTGGCTTCTCCCAGCCGACGGCAGCATCCGAAGAGCTACTCGGTGGCATAGGTGAAGCGGGACACTCCGTGGTGCCACGAAACGCGGAGCTCCCGACTCCCTAAGCCTGTGGCTTCCGCCACTTGCGCCAATCCTGATTCTGCTTTGCCGCCCACTGCTGCGACTGTTGTTGTTGACCCTCCCAGGCCTGTCGCTTCCGGCGATCATCCTCTTTGCGAGGACTGTCCTCATGAGGCTTGCGCTTCTTGTTGGGATTCCCAGGGCTCGTCTGCTGCTTGCCCCCGGTCTGAACAGGGCGACTCATAACCTCCTGATACAAGTGCAGATCCTCACGCACCGTGGTGACGGCTTCTGAAAAAGTGCGGCCTGCCCTCATCTCCCGACAAAGCTTCCAGGAGGCTGACTCATAGTATGATCGAAAACCGTCCAACTGCTGAGGGCGCTGACGGGCCTTGTGGATGAAGTCGTCGAACAAAGCATTGATGTCGAACTCGTGGCCGTACTCCAGCAGGATGAAAGCCCAACGCAGGGCTTCCAGGGCATCGATCACGGCTAACATGGACCGCGGCTCCCACGAGTCCTCGGCATCCTCAGCCACCAAGCGGTCACGGTCGACATCGACAACCAGCTCCCGGCTGATCTTCCTTTTGGACAATGAATTCACTGCTCCTGTCGCATCAAAGGAACGCCTACTCATCAGCTCTCCCAAAGGCAAAGGTGTAAAGTCCCCGGAGACCTTCAGTTGATGCCACAGCTTAGCCAATGAAGACTCAGCGCCCAGCAGCTTCTGTTGCGGGAACACACGATTCCTGCCATGGATCTGAACCGCCTCATATTTGCGGATCTGTTCTGTCCACACCCCTGCCGGCAACGTGCGCGGAACCTTATCCGCATCCTTAGCAGCAGTCCCAGTGCCGATTGCACCAGGTGAGGCCGTCCCTGATGGCGCTCCCGTCGTGGGAGGAGAGGTGGTCGGCGATGTGGCATCGATGGATAATTTCCTCATGTACAGGAGTATTGCAGATGCTATGGGCCTATCAGCGGCATCTAGCGCGATCCGATCGGCTCCCACTCCGAAGCCTGCAAGCAGTGGCGCAATCACCACATCACGATACTCCGCTTCGCCTGTTGCTATCATAGACAGGGTTCCTGCAGAGGTGATCCCGCGCAACGCGAGGTATCTGCGTATGTCATCCCCCGCTCCTGCTTTGTCAGCGATGGTCTGTAGATCCATGCTGGACCCCGAACCCCACAGGCTAAGCGCCAGCCCGAAAACTTGCGGTGACATGAAGTGTTGCCTGCGCTCTAGTACATGTGCAAACGCCCTCGCACGACATGAGCCCCCCCAACCGGCGAGCACTCGCAAGCCGATGTTTCCAAGGCCACCGCCGACCCTGTGCGAAGCTCTGTGGCTCGCTGTACCGCGAACTCGCCCTCCGGGGGCCACCTGCCCCGGGCAAGGATCAAAAACTCAGCTCTGACTCGGCTGCTCTCACGCGAGCGAGCCTGTGATCCAGAGCAGCGCCGCCCACACGCAGCGTCGCCAGCGCCTACCGGCCGGCTTTAGTCTACCTCCTGTAGATCTACATTGTGAGACGGGGTCACAGCCTGATCCCCAGCCACAATCATGATGCCCGGCAAGTGCAATGGAGAAGTCGTCGGAAGGCCAAGGTCCTGGCAAGAGGGCGTTAAGGACAGCATGTTACAAACCGCGGAAAACCCTAGGCACCCCCAGCGCACTGTTCACTCTTTCGGCGACCTCGGACTCGCGAAAGCATGACTGGAACACACAATCAAGAGGACGAACTGCTCGAGGAGGTCAAAACACTGGACGAACCATCATCCGATCCAGAACCACCATCCTCAACCGCCGCCTGAAAATCCCCTTTATCGCGAGGGAAGCAGCGCTTGCACCGTGGCCACTCTGGCCTGGCTGCGCTCGTCCTGAAAAATCTGGTGTTACCGTATAAAATGCCACATGTGGTTGCCCAAGCCTCGGGCCTAGCAGTAGCTTCAAGCGGGTCGGGCCGATGGGCTCGCCGAGTCCTTGTGTTCACAACCAAAGTTTCCGCAGCGTCCTGCGTCCTCGAAGTGAAGTCTGAAAACTGCAAGCGCATCGCCTCTATCTCGGCCGCTCGCCGGTCTGGCAAACAAGACTCCGCGACCGGCTGTGCCGCCGAACCGTCCGAAGTAGCTGCGATCACAGGCTGACTGGGCGTGCTCGCCAGCAGGCCCTGGGGGCCCTCACGCGGGCGATGAGCCACCTCGCCCGATGACAATGCTCTGGAAACCGCACCCGGTACCAGCAACAATGGAGCTTCCTGCAAATACTTCTGCACTGCTAATGAGGACCACCTGCCATGTAGCTGGATCATATCAAAGCGGAGCCCGAGCAAGAAAAGATGTTGCGTGCCCGCGACGCGGAGGACGTGCCCCCCAAATCGCTCAACTTGGATCCCCGCCTCGTCTGGACGAGTAGTCTGCACCCCGGCCCGCTTCAAGGTCTCGCGGATGGTCATGATCATATCGGCCTTGGAAAGTGCTGTCCCATCGTCCTGTGGAAACAAGGGGAGTGCCTTGCAATCTAACATAGCCTGCAGAATTTCCAAGCGTTGCAGATGACGCGCACCAGCATGATATGGACAAAGTGGTTGGCTCCTGACTGCACACCCGCAAAACAATGCTCGACTGGTCAATTCGCCCTGCGAAGAGGTTTTGTGGGCAGGGAGCAGGATCTGAAGCTGATTGTTTTGGAAGTATAAGTGCGACGAACTGGCCGAAGCCATTTCGATTTCCCTCATACAAAAGTATGAGGCCACAATCAGGGCATCAATCGCGGCAGGAAGATCGCTCCACGAGAAGGCCCGAAACTCCGAGCCCTCCACAACGGCCGAAGCCAAAGACCAGAGATCAAAGGAATCCTTCAATGAAGAGGGCCCTAGGCCCCTGCGCACGGACCGTACGCAGTCCCTGATCATTGCCTTAATGTGTCCCGGGACAACGGTGTGCATGCGCCTCACCTGGTGCGATGCTGCCGCCGAGAAGTACTGCTCCGAGGACCTATACCGCCCCCGTTTCAGCGACGCTCCCACTGCTCTAACATTTCGTTCATCCAATGGGAAGGCCGGCAGCTCCCACTTGGCACAAATCTGCCGCCATGTCAAGATGCGACTTTCATAGGGTCCGATCGTCGTCTTGGCCAGGACTTCCCGATCCAATTCTTCCAACGCCTTAGCACGTTCCGACGGCTCCCCGGCCGTAAGAGCATCCGCCAAGGATGCTCTCCGGCGCTTCCGCACCGGAGGCTGGTCCGCCCGCCACTGAGGCATCAGAAGTTCGCCTTGTCGCGACCCCGAAACCAGGAGCTCTAATTGCCATCGCTGGACCCCTACATCCAGAAGGCGCTGCCATGCACTTTGAACATCCGCCAAACAGAAAACCTCAGCCCGAACGAACAAGGGAGCAACCTCCGAAATCCCTCGATCACGAAGAGTCTCCCACAAGAAGGCTGTCGAAGCCATGAGCCCAAACAGGCTGTGCATGAACGGCTGGCTTAAGCGTACCCAGCAGCACTCAAAAAGACCCTGTCCTCGCCCAGGTCCTTCAAGATCCGAGTGAGGGTGGCCACAGCATGATTCTCCGGACAATCAAAAGTGGGCAGGATCAATGCAATCTGTACCTTAGAGGCCAAGATGACGCTCACCTCAGCATCCATGCCCGGACCAGCATTCTCAAGAGAAGATCCTTGTTGAGCAATGGTGCCCGTGCCGACTGGCTCGAACGATCCCACTTGCAGACTAGTCAATAAGTCCAGAAAAGGCATAAGATCCAAAGCCCGATCTCGAGAGACGAAGCTATGCACCAACAGGACAGCATGACGGACGCGCTCCAATGTCCTGTCGTATATTTCCGCAGCTTCCAGACCACTGAGCACAGTCAGAGAAGCAAGGCGCCGATGTGCGAACTCCAGCGCACGCGCGGAGCATGCCATGCCTATCCTGAAATCGAAACAGGATCTCGAGCACAGCAGCTGCATATTCTATGCATGCTTGTCTGGCTCGAGAATTCATTTGTCACACAAGACAGAGAGTCTGGACCAACATTCTGAAATCCGAGCCTGCTTTTGGTGTGTTCCACCACCATTTTCCGAAGGGGTTGCTTTCAAGCAGCTGGTATGTCACTGGATCGGCCTTCTGGGCGTTGGCACTCGCACTGGCCTACGAAGGTGCACTAAATGTGTTTGTCTGGACCTTCTGTCGCAATGCAATACGGGGATTCGCTTCTGCGTTGGCCCGGCGCGCCGAACCGCGAGCTCAGCCCCCAAGTCTTTGCAATTCACTGCTCAGGTCTGTGAATCTGCTCCTGGCTCTGAAAGTGCCAGCTCTCGGTTGCCAACTCGAGCAGTGACAGCTATTGCCGACACGCATATAGAGAAGCTGCACACGGAAGGAAGCCGTCACTGCGCAGCCTGGCTGTTTCAACACAAGGGTCGCAGAACTTCCGAACCAGACCGTCACGACCGGTAGCTATGCTTCCCGTCATGCGCAGCTGCACTTGGTACGCTGTGCCTGGGGCCGCTCTGCGAAGGTCGGGCGGAGCTCAATCTTTCAAGGGAAGGCGACAAGCCTGGCACAGGAGACCGACACCTGTTGGCTTAACAAGGTGACGAGGTTTTGGATATGAATCTGAGAGTAGTTTCTTCTGGTCCATCGGGTCTTCATAACCAACCCTCCTCCACCAATCACATCCTCTGCACAAGACACCCTCACTCATCTGTGCCACACTGGGTCTCAGGGCTGACGGGAAGTTCGAACCCTCTATGTGACCAGGCCATGCCCGATCGTGGATTTTAAGGAGCGCGAATCATGCATCGTGTAGCTATGTAATGCCACGGAATGCAAGCAGCTCTGAACGTGCACTCAGACGTATGACAAGAGGCAGCGATCAGCTGGTGGGGGGACGAGACTTCCGTCGATTGAGAGTGCAAGCAAAATGACATCATCGGGACGCAAATTCATGCTCCAGGCTACCAACAAGACATAGCTGCATCGCTGATAGCCCCATGGAGTTAAAAGCACTGACCGAAGGCTGCACCTCTTATCGTTTGAACGACGCCAAGGCCACCAACGGCCTTGCAGAAAACTCAGCATGGGCTCACAATCAAGTCAGGGAGCTGCCGCCTGTGTTGCCCCGTTTGCTTGGGTCTGCACACCGGCTGTCGCTGCAAGGAAGCGGCGAATAGGAGGCGCCGCCCCTGCGCAGCAACTGCAAAGAGAGCAAAGGAAGTGAACATGTCTGAAGCAAAAAGCCGTTGCGTCTGGGTTTGATGTTCTAGAACCTGAACTCAACATCTGCCTCCAAGGGATAACAAGAGCACAAACAAGAGCTTGCTGTGGCCTCGAATTTTCGTGATAGCATGGTCCCTGTCTAAGAGAAACCGACTTGAGCCAGATTTTGTGCAGCGATGCAAATCCAGAACACTTCTGCAACTTCATGCTGCAGCTCGGCGACCCGATACGATTGTTCTTTCCTTCTCAAGGAATCTCAAGGAATCTCAAGTGACCTAATTAAAGAGCACGCCATCACGGCGGACTCAGCATGAGAGCCACATGTTGTCACAGGCACTCGCGAATTGGCCATTGGTGCAACAGACTGCGCAGCAAAGCTGCACTCAAGAAGTGTGCAACAGCTCTGCCGCGCCAGAAATGCCACGACACACCCTCGGCCCATAGGGAAAACTCTAGCCAGAAGGCCCGATCGCCGCTCCGGAACCTGATCGAAAAGACTGCCTCACCATGCTGCATCGGAGTTTTAGTCAAGAACAGTCGAGAACAGGTCCGGAAGCGGAGGTCTCGGGAGAAACTCACAACATCACCTCACAAGTTCTGTACATGGAAGTCAGTGGGCTCATAAGCAACACGCCCACTACTCATAGCAACACGCTCGCAACCCTGTGTCAGCAACCGGGCAGAAGCCGGCTGGCAGTGGGCTCCATGCTGTACCTTCAGGATGCAGGGCTTCCCAGAGCGTACCTGCCTGTTCAAATGATGAAGCGCTTCACGAAAACCGTGAAGCTCTGATACGCAACCAGCATCTTTGAAACATGAGTTCACAAGGAACCGTGCTGGTGTCGTACTCGTGTTGTTGTCAATCAAACACCTGACGCAAAAGACCCCTTTACTCGTCAAACACCTCTATGCTCGTGAACCGCTGGTCGATATCAGATTCGCTTCAGGCAGCGGCTACACCCTGGAAGCGTAATTCTCTCGCCCACAACCGTCAAACTGGCTTGCTGCTTAGATTTTGTGGGGACGTCTTGGACGAAGCGGGACAGCCGAAATCAGTGGACTCAAGCTGACATCAAGTGAAAGTCTCAACTGGTCCCTAATCTCTCTTCTTTCGCGTGTCCCGCTTCATCCTTCACGACCTATTGCATCCCTCCGGCTATTTCCACTGCCACGACACCTCTACCGCGTCATCTTGCAAGTCTGCCCAGTTTACCCGGGCTGGTTGTCGGCTGGATGCAGGCGACCACTGCCACGACACCTCTACCGTGTCATCTTGCAAGTCTGCCCAGTTTACCCGGGCTGGTTGTCGGCCGGATGCGGCCATGTGCAGACTTTCCTCCTCTTCCTGGAGTCCAGAAACGCATGCTGGAGTTGAATAGACCCTGTTGCTGGGTTTCCCCCCACCCTTCCCGGTGCCCCTGTGGTGCCCCTGCTGCGCCTGCTCGGCCAGGTCGGCCCAGGACACGCCGCGGTCGCGGCGGTTCTTGGGTGGCGGCGACCTCGGCCTCGCCGGCGATGCCGGTGGAGGCGTTTCGAAGCAGCTCAGTGCCGGAGAACTTGGCGAGCTGGACACGGAGGAGTCACCTGACGAGACACCCTGCACAAGGCGCAGAACAGCGACAGCGTCAGCTACTGAGTAGGGCAGTGAGAAGCAAACTTGGCAACGCCAAGTGACGAAGGGACCGTGGAGACGGACTGAAGTCGTCCCTTCGCTGAGGGCTGCTGTCGAAGACCCAAGCGGGAAGGCCAAGGCTACGTTCTGCATGCGCACAGGACCGAACAACAGTCTTGCTAGCTGCTAGCTCAGGAACATGACGGAGCCCGCCCAAGCTTCCCTGTCAACGGCTCATCAAAAGGAGTGACACCTTCATCACCCTCTGTCATTTCCATCCAGAAGGGCCGCACATCCTCAGAAACATAGTTTCTTCCAGAAAACGTGGCATGCCCCTCTTCAGGCATCGAAGGCCATGCAAGCTTTACGGAAGTACATTTGCCAACCTTCAATTGGTCTCACTCTGCTTCCCAATACTAGTACGTAAAAGCAGTTCAGGTGCAAGGTGCCGGCCTCGATCATCTTGGGGATCATCTCCTGTTGTCATCCATTTCCGAACCCTAAGTGTCGACCGGTCACCACCCACCCTCACACCAACAATGACTGGCCCAGCCTGACTAACTCTAAGAGTGCGTAAAGATCTTCCGAGATTCGTTCGGTTGCAAAGCGCGAAAGGTTTCCTGCTCATCATGTCATACCCAACAGAGAGGCAGCTACGCGTTTCCTGGGTGGGATCTATATGTTTATGTGCCGTATTGAGGCCTGACTCTTGCCGAATCCTGGACGTGGAGGACCTGCATTGCTTGCAAGAACCGGAGACAGCATCATTCCTGCCGCTTTCGTCCCTGTCCTGCTTCGCTGCCGCCCAAGCTGGCCATGTTTCCGGGGTTGCCTGGGCTGGGCAGCGACCGCATGTCGTAAATATCGTAGAAGCAACCCCAAAGCCGGCTCGACTGGAGAGGACAGAAGTGTGTGCCGCGCTGGAAGCTGGATTGGCAGCGTGGCTTCAAAAAGACGTGGCGGGCTGCAAAGACAATGCCGAATGGCAGAATTTAATGACATGCCTGCGAAAAGCTGAAACTGGGGCTGCTGGCCGGCCAGCTCCATTCCTCTTCTGAACAATCGATCTCCTGGGTCGTGATACAGTATGTCAGGGCGATATACGTCTGTGCAACGCGACGATGACACACCACGAAGACATCAGGAGCATGCTACAAATCTGTGCTTCTTCGCTTGCCGTGATTCGGGGATTTTGCATGCGCCTTCAGCTCTGTGTCGCTTATCTTCTTAGTGACGACCACGTCACAACGACGAGAAAGTCTCCGCGAACGTTTTCAGGCGCCAGAACTCAACGTTTGCACCCTAGCACCAACAAACTGTCGATTCATCTCCAGCCCCATCCACCTCCATCAGCTTCAGAGTGCTGCGTCCCGGCTTGATGTTGTCGTTGTCATCGACGCTGATTCCGAACCTCAGCGTTGACTTCAGGTCAATACTGACTTACATTCTGTGCTCAGTGCTCAGGCCACTCAACATGCTAATGAGGGGCTCAATAGGAGGATCCAGCTGCAGCAGGTACTCCGCATCCTCGATGTCCTGCATGGAGCTCCGCAGAGTAGTACCATCATAGCAAGACTAAGAGTGACATCTGCGGAAGTTTGAGGTGCTCCTACGTAATTATCAAGATCCAGGGGTCGTTTCGAAGCGGAGGCTTGCAGCTGACAGGAGCTCCTTGGCCGTCAGGGCGGCGCAGTCGATCTCCAAGTCCGGCACGTTGACGCCCTTGCGCGCCTGTTTAGGTCAAACTATGCTCTCTCGGAGAGGCGCACCCAGCCAGCATCTCACACCCGGACACTCTGAACCGAAGTCCTGCAAACATCCCACGTGGTCAGACTTAACAGATCAAGAGTAAGTGCAAGCGCGGTTTTGTGAAATTGAAGCGCCTTCAAGCCTGACCCCATCTGAGCTATAGGCACCTTCAGCTTCCCTCCGCGAGTGACTTCCACCTTGAGCTCTGTGGAGGAGATCTTCCTTGCAACGTGATCTGTGTGGCGCTTCAAGTGGCAGGGCTGGCAGCATGCCTAGGCATGCCTAGGCCTACGGTACTCATCTCATCCTCAACACCAACCAAACGGTAACGGTCATGGCACAAGGAAGAATGCAGCAGCTAGTGTGTGTCAGGTCCCTTTTGCCGTAACGCCTGAACCCTGCTACAATTGCTTGTCGTGGGATCATTGAATCGCATTTGGAGCATAGGAAGTAATTTCGCTGAGTCTCTCTGTCACCTTCACCTCCATGAGCCCATCTTCAATGAGCAGAACTGTGCCTTGGAGCAGCAACGCCTTTAAGACTTGCACGCATACAACTGATGCACATAATCATGTACATACGTGCTCACGTACGTACATATGCATGTAGGGATAATCAGATAGATGGACAGATCAAAACATTAGTGGAAGATAGGCAGGCACTGCCTACGGCTGCAGACCGGCTGCCGACCTTGCACGCTTCGACCAGGGCATTCCTGGCTCGGACGCCGTCAGACGAGGCTCGGAAGCTTCAAAGCTTCGTCAGGGATCACTTAAAGAAGCATAAACCCAACACGACCAGCACCCAAATCCCATTGTGTTCTCGCGGCTCTGAGCTGAGGCTTCGCTGATCTTCCGTCAAAAGCAATGAATTGGTCTCGGCATTTCACGGTTTAAGCCCTTTGAAGGGGTGCAGAGTCTGCAGACACCTTCTGTGTCCAGTGGCAAGTTTGGGAGAAAGGCCGTAGTTACTCACAGTGAGCTCAGAATGACACGAAGCAGGCGAAGCTGTCTCAAGATTATTTACGCTCTCTTAACTCGGACATGCCTGACGAGGTCTCTTCGCACCGGTTCCCTTTAAAGGGATCATTGAAGGGGTCTATAAGGGATCTCTAATGGGGTTCTAGATGAAAGGGGCCTTAATGATTCCCTCTACTATTTGCAAAGCAGTGCACCCCCCCTAAAGCTCACGGCAAGGTGCTGCTCAGTTGTCGGTATCATGGTGATGCGGCCCGGCTTGATGAGGTCGTTGTCGTCCTTGCAGATGCCTGGGCTCGGGCTTCACTCAGATGGCTGCCTGCGGCCATTGGGCTGGATGGCTCGAGGGTCCCTTTCCAGTCTTTCTTCTTGCCATCCATGCAGCCAAACTCCAGGATGTCTCCGTTCTGCAGCTGGACAGGCTCGCCGGCCAACCTGTGGGACGAGCGAAAACATCTTGGAACACATTCTCTCGTCCAGGACAGCAATTCAAGCTTCCTGCTTTACAGGTCGGCTTTAGTCTCTGTCCAAATCTCCGACCGCCATCCAACTGCAAGGCAGCAGAACAACCGGATGTCTGGAATGCTTTACGAGATCTGAGGTGAGCTGTAAGCCTTGTTGAGGCGAGCGGCTCACCCACCCGGAACTTGGGCCCCTGAAGGTCTCCCAGGCACTCGACGTTGACGCCCAACTCCTGCGAATCTTTTGGAGCGCGAGATTCAGAGCCATCTTGCAAGGTCAGCCAGCAAGACTCTCTCATCCTCAATGAAGCAGCCCTTACGCGGGAGCCTAGGCTTCATCGTGTTCCAGACATGATGCATGGCTGCATCCAGTCTCACTCCAAGCAGCTCCAAGATCTCGCCGTTCACCAGGGGGATGGGATCCGTGGCGAGCTCCCCGACGCGGAATTTGGGCCCCTGCAGGTCGCCCAAGCACTCCACCTGGTATCAAGGCCCAAGGCTCCACTTCAAGAGCTAACATCATAAGGCACGATTAAGAACAACACCATACCGTAAGATAACAAGCTCCTTCGTTCTGGCCACAGGATGGCCATAGACTGCGGTGTTGTAGACTCCGCTCTTGAGATGAGAAAAAAAAAACTGACCATCGGTGACTAGCCTTGCCGAATCCGTGACGTGGACGACTTGCGCTGCCAACGACGACTGTTCCAAAGTTCCACAGACATGCTACTGCACTTCGAAAACATCGAAGATAGCATGACAGCCTGAGGCTTCTCGATCTTCGCGCAGGTCTTGGGTCGCTTGTCCTCAGGTCTCAAGCATGGCAGATGCTGACACCGAACTTCAACACCTCGTCGTTGACAAGCTCGCTTGGATCCAGAGTTTAGGTTTCAGGTTTTAGGGTTTAGCGCTTTTTTGTTGAACCCGCGTGTCCTTAGGGTTTAGGAGTTTAGGGTTCAAGGCTTAAGGTAGGTATCTAAGTCAGGGTCACTTTTTCGTTTGGATTCATTAGGGACTCTAAGTTAGAGAACCACCTACCTTTCCGTGCGCAGTAAAAGCTCGAAAGAATGAGTCGCTGGGGCTTTAGAGCTCTAGAGCTGTAAGCTTTAGGCTTCAGGGCCTTAGGTCAGGATTTGACATGTTCGTTAGAAGGAACTTGCTCGACCTGTGCTACTCACATCACATCCCACCCGGGCCCACCCTACAGTACGACGAATGGGTCACCAGCACAAAGCAATCACATGCTATGTGAAGGGACCCTAGGGAATAACATTAGAAGGGTCCATGGCGATATCTTTCGAAGCGCGAAAGCAGCGACGAGCAGTAGCACTCACAACCCTGTCCACAACACTCGGGTATGCAGGGTTTCATCGCTCCACTCTGTGGCTGGGGCTTTGGCTTTCAACGCCCACGCTTGCAAGAAGCGCGGCATCGCCTTCAGAATATATGCCAGGATCAAGAAAATGCTGATAGGCAGTAGAGGCATATGCCCGCTCCCTTTTCTGCTGAAGCTTTCGTTGAACGTTTGGCTGTGTGAGACAGAATTCAACAGTAGTGGAGCTTCCAAATCTCGTATTGCAATTGCCTGTTGGCATGCACAGAGAAAGTCTTCAGTTGCTCCTCTGCTTCTGCATAGCTTCGTCTGGGGTCGTCATCGACTCGCCACAGGATCTTCAGATCAGAAATCAGTGTCTCCTGGACTTCGTCCTGCTCCTCAATTTGGAGGGCTCTGATCAGCAGGGACACCCACTTCTGACGCTGAGACTTCGTCAGTGCGCGCAGAATGGTAGTAAGATGCGTCGCACATTGCATTGCCTGCTCGAAGGCCTCTTTGCTGATGTCTCCGGACTCTGGAAGCAGGTCTTCCATCCGGTCAAGCATGGCTTCGGCAATCAATCGCTGCACGAAGGGAAGGCCACCAAACCCATAGTTCATAACAAGATAGTGGGCGGCTTTCCTCACAGCTACGTCCTCGTCGCAGCAGTGCTCGAGCAGATCTCCAAGGTTCGCGCTGACCATGTCGTTGACATCACTTTCTGGGAAATGAGTTTTGTCGACATTCGCGAGCCGCATACACCACCAGCGGCCTGGGAAGAAAAAGCATTCGATGATTTGACTTGCTTGTCATGCGTCTTGCCTTTAAACGGACAAGAGACACTCGCAGAACTTCCGTTGCCGCAAATCCTTGTCCAGTTCGTCCTCCAAATTGACGGCATCTGTTGCAACGCGATGCCATTGTGAAGCAAATTCCAGAATTGATTCGGACCTGCGCATCGGAACTCACGGTGCACGACTCCTTGTATATCAGACACAAAATGCCAACAAAACCGCGCCTGTCCAACCTGCCCATTTCGGACAGGTGCTGTATCAAGACCTCAGGTTGCACGAGAACGCTCTTCCAGAGTCTTTGCGATGAATTACACATGGCTGGGTTGGACGAAAGCAGAACCGCACAAAGCTCCCTGCTCTGGGACTTCTGGTCTGCGAGGAAGTCACTCGCCACTCCATGAGGTCATCCACCTTCGGGTTCTTCCACTGGGGGATGAGCCCATCGTCGCAAGCCGCTATGCAGCCCCTACTTTTGCAGACAGGGCTCAGAAAGGTACGGCAAGACATTGAGCCTCAAGACTTGCTCACTCGAGGCGTCCTTTGCATGTGTTCTTCCTCAATGTTAATTTGGATGCCAAGTTGCAACACGTCTTCTGAGGGGTCGAACGGGTCCAAATCCCCGCCACACCTTACTGCAAGTCTCAGAAGGTAGCTGCAGCAGGCGGATGCGACAAAGGGCACAGAACAGTATCTGTGCAACTCGGCAGCTCTTCCAGGCCATCCTGCGATGAGCCCGACCGGGTGGTAGCGGAGCCCCAGCTCTTGCGCTTGAGCTCAGCCTTCCGCAGGGCATTCCGGGGTTAGAGCGGGTGCGCTGCCGACTCACGGCGACCTTGACATCCCTGGCAGGGGCTGCCATAGCGTCTTTAGCAGACCTGGGCTGCAGGCACTCCTTCCCCTGAAAAGCAAAACTTAGAGAGACTCCGAAACTGCACGTGCAGAACAGCTCCCGCTGTCCAGCGGACTTAAGACGAGTGTCTGCGGCTGCGAACCAAAGCATGCATTGGTCGGCGTCCTTATCGGAGAGCGGATGATTGACCTCAGGCCAAGAGGAGCTCCGAACCAGTGATCTCAGGCCAAGAATGCCACTGCAGCTGTCGCAAGTTTGCCGTGAGTCAAGGCTAGGCATCTGACTAGGAGCCATGCGAAGAGTCAGATTGCATCATAAGCTCTGAGGACGGTGCTGACCACTCTCTGTGGCAATGTACACCAAGGCATCACCCGGAAAGCGATCTGAAAGTTCGCTGCACCTTACTCCGGTCGTTGGCGAAGCGGTCGAGCATAGTAGAACTGAAGGCTAGCAGACAACTGAAGCAAACTGCCTGGACGCAGCATCGCTTGCCACATCCAGCTGCTTGGAGAGCTCCAGTGCCAGCTGCTGCACAAAAAAGAGCTGGACGCTGTGATGGTATTGCCTCGGAGACGAGCTGAACCATCACGGCATCACGGTCTTGCGAAGCATCGCTCACGTGTGCCAGGGCACGTCCAGGTTTGCAGCTGCTGCGTGACCCCGGAGTGATGGCACATCTCAAACGACGTTTTGCACATCTGTCCGAAAGACACCGCTTCAGCAGACAGCACGAAAATGGCGTATCATTCGATTGTCATGCATATGTACCATGTGCGAATGCTCAGATCTGTGTTTGCTCAGCGTGCACCATGTGCTGCATGAGCCAGCTGCGACCGTGAACATGCTAAAGCATCTCTGCTGGCTGTCGGCGACTGCAATCGGGATAAAAGACCCACTTCGATGCCTTCGCCAAACTGGCGCGGCTGTGCCTTCCCAGGGTTCCTTTGGAGGCTGGGCAAGACTTCCCAGAACCACACGGCGGCATGTGCCAGTTTGGCACGACAAGTCGTCATACAGATGTGCAGAAACATATCTTGTCGATATTGCGCTCAACATGGCAGCTGCTGAAGTGCAAAGACCGGCCCTCTTTTTACAAGCTCGGATATGCGCATCTGTGCCCATGCGGGCGTTGCCTGCGCCTTTCCTGGCCACTATCAGGTTCACGACTGCTCGCAATCTGCATTTTGGAACCCCTGCCTTCCTTCATCTAAACGTCGGAAGCTGCAGCTCTGCCTCGCCTCGCCTTAAGAGTCCGGAGCATGCCGAAGGCCCATTCCCAGGTCTTGCCATCTGACTTGGATTCAAGAAGACCCTTCCCGCACGCTCTTCTAAGGCCGACTCCGATCTTCAGGCCAGCCAGATTGACGACCTGCCACAGGAGAAACTTCAGAGATCGTGTCCAAAGGCTTGCAGGCTTCCGCGGCTGCTGAGCTCACAAAGGGGATTCGCTCCTGCGTTGGCCCGGCGCGCCGAACCGCGAGCCGGGCCTCAGCCCCCCAAGTTTCTCCTGTGCCGTCTCTCACGTAGTGAGTCACCGCTCAGGTCTGTGAATCTGCTCCTGGCTGTGAAAATGCCAGCTCTGGGTTGCCAACTCGAGCAGTGACAGCTATTGCCGACACGCATATAGAGAAGCTGCACACGGAAGGAAGCCGACACGGCACAGCCTGGAGAACGGTCGCAGAACTCCCCAACCAGACCCTCACGAACCGGTGATCCGACTCCAGGAAAGGTGCAGAGACCTTCGCTACAATTCCCGCCATGTGAGCTACACTGTTCCTGGGGCCGTGGCGGAGCTCAATCGCCCAAGGGAAGGCGACAAGCCTGGCACAGGGCTCGACATGGTGACGATTCTTTGGATGATGGCTCTCACTTGCTTCTACTAATCAAAGCCTCTGCACATGACACCCTGACACATCTGTCCCACGATGGGTCTCAGGGTTGAAGGCAACTTCGAACCCCATGTGCCGCGAGGGCACGCCCGATCGTGGGCTTTCATTCTAGACGGCGTGAATCGTGCATCGTGTACCGATGTCATGCTGCGGAACGCAATTGAAAAAGGCAGCAGACTTTGGTCGATCGAGAGCGCCAGCGAGCTAACTTCACCTCTATCTTTCTGCCGGTTCTCTTTCGGTAGACTTCTCCCCCTCTCTGTATGTCCTTCACTGCCACTGACGCAAAGTCATCTTCTCAGGCTACCAACATGACATAATTACTTAGTTCTATCGCTGAGATTCGCTGAGTTAAAAGCACAAGCCCAGAGCAGCTGCACCTCCTCGTATCAACACGCAGAAAACTCAACGATAGAATAAAACTTCACATGTCATGAAATTATGAACTGTCCAAAACATAAAACATTGCATGAAACATCGGCCAAAGCCAACGCAAGGGGCAAACCAATTCTCACGGTGTCTATGACACAACACATCATGAGCATTAAAAGGTCCATGGGAAACTTACACATGAAAGGACGGTGAGCATCTGACCTGTTGGCTAGAGGATAGAAGTAGATCACGAGGTGTGAAATTGTCTTTATCGCTGAGTTACAAGCACAAGCCCAGAGCAGCTGCACCTCGTATCGGCTGAATCAAGCCAAGGGCACTACACGGGCGTTGCAGATGGGCTCACGGTCAAGTCAGGGTGCTGGGCAGCTGCCGCCTGTTTGCCCCGGTTGTTGCTTGGGTCACAGCACAGCGCACGCGGACGCGACCATCCTGCGGGCATGGATGCTCGGTCCCACGGTATGAAAACCTGCAGTTCCAGCATAGGACCCTGAGAAACACGCAGAAAACTCAGAGTTGGACCCGGAACCAGCGAAAAGATTGTGCGAGCAAAATCAGTTTAACAAGCAAGAGCAAACCCGCGCAGACGCAAAAACATCAAAAGCTCGACGGAAACGAGTGCTGAGCAATTTTCAACAGCAGCAAGACTGAAAGACGCTGAAAAAGAGGTTCGGGCTGCAGGAAGCGGCTGGTCAGCCATGTCAGCCGCTTGGCATTAAACAGCAACACCTCAAAACGAAGGTTCCGAGGCGCTTACACCTGTCCCGTTGTAAAATCCTCAAATGCCTGTCGAGTCCTATTGAGCCGAACAGTCAAGTTTGCGTGGCGTCCGCGCTCACCCCTAGATCTGGATATCCTTTATAGAAATTGGAACGGTGCCGGCCTCGCCTTTTTCATGAGCCTATCTGTGCAGGCCTGACTACGAAGCCGCTGCGAGTTCCACTCCCGAAAGAGCAGTGCTTGTGGCGGTTGTGCACAGCAGATGCGACTCTCCGCGCATGCGTCGTAGTTTCAGCATTTCGCATGTCGCGAATAGATTTTAAGCCCCGAAACCGGCTCAAGCGGATTGGAATGGATTGGACAGAAAAGCGTGTCAACTGTTCGAGACCTGCTGCCATGGTGTTGGGGAAGAGCCCGCTGTACGTTGCTCGCAATGAAGCTCAACTTCCAGCTAGAATGCACCTGTAACTGTAACACATAGAGGGTCTCTGTCACTACGTAGCCTTGGTTCTCGACTCGATGATCGCCGAACGCTACAGGTGCCGTCTCCAACCGCACCAGCGGTGGAGGCTGTCTGGGTGCTGTGGCAGCCGTGACCGTCCCAAACATCCCAAAAGCAAAACCGGGTGCGAAATGGAACACTCCATCCCTTATGCCAGCACCATCTGACACAGTTCTGAGATCAGACCCCCACGGCAGTTGGCTATCATCTGCGGAACGAAGAAACTGATCATTCTGCCTCATCCGAAAGCAGCTTCGTAGGCATGTCCAATGTCCACCAGGTCTCCATCCTCAACATGGCATGCCAGACGTCCAAAGCTCAAAAGTCCGTTCTGCCAAATTCACTGTCAAGACAAAATCTCAACCACTTGGGGGCAAGCACTCCGTGCATACCCAGGAGGCTCAGTCAGCCGGACAGCGAATCTCAAAAGATGTCTAAGATGGACAGCTTGAGGGAGTGGCTTGGTCGATGCCATGCTGCGGTCGTTGTCATCTCGCAGCCTGTGGCTGGCACCGTACACATAAAGTGAACGGCAAACAACATTGAGCTCTTCGAGCCTTCTGCGCGTGTTCCACCGTTCTGCAAATGCACTCGGCCTCTGTGCCCCGACAGCAAGAATGACACATGCAAGGTTGATCTCAAGCGGCTTGCACATCATTGGATCAGGCCTGAAGGCTGTTGGCACTCGCACTGGCCTGCGAAGGTGCACTGAACCTATTTGGCGCAATGCAACACGGTACGCAGAGAGGCTGAGGATGGTTCAGGATTCCGAGGAGCAGAAGGCAACGATGAGGACAAAGTCACACTAAATACCAATGCAAATACGACTACGAATACTAAAGCGAGTACGAAGCCAGAATACTTTACTATTGCAGCAAACTGCTATCGCAGTATGGCAGACTGGCACGCCGTGGCGCCAGGCGCTTTTCCCCATTCCCCCCCCTCTCCCTCCCTCTGCCCCGTCTCACCCGCTTCCCCGCTCTGTGGCTCTGGCATTGTGCGCGGAGGCAACTCGAGGCATCCTTGCAGCCCATCTTCATAGCTACACTCCAGAAACCAAAACCAGGAAAATGCAGGAAGTCAGCAGGACAAGAGATGCATAGTCACACTTCCCTTTTGCTGAAGTTTTTGTTGAACGTTTGGCTGTGTGAGACAGAATTCAGCAGAAGTGGAGCTGCCAAATCTCCGTCCGCAAATCCGCGCTGGCATGCATTGAGAAAGCCTTCAGTTGCTCCTCTGCTTCTGCATAGCTTCGTCTGGGGTCGTCATCGACTCGCCACAGGATCTTCAGATCAGAAATCAGTGTCTCCTGGACTTCGTCCTGCTCCTCAATCTGGAGGGCTCTGACCAGCAAAGACACCCACTTCTGACGCTGAGACTTCGTCAGTGCGCGCAGAATGGTAGTAAGATGCGTCGCACATTGCATTGCATGCTCGAAGGCCTCTTTGCTGATTTCGGCGGACTCTGGAAGCAGGTCTTCCATCCGGTCAAGCATGGCTTCGGCAATCAATCGCTGCACGAAGGGAAGGCCACCAAACCCATAGTTCTCAACAAGGTGGTGCGCCGCCTTCCTCACAGATACGTCCGGGTCGCAGCAGTGCACGAGCAGATCTCCAAGGTTCGCGCTGACCATGTCGTTGACATCACTTTCTGGGAAATGAGTTTTGTCGACATTGGCAAGCCGCATACACCACCAGCGGCCTGGGAAGGAAAAAGCATTCGATGATTTGACTTGCTTGTCGTGCGTCTTGCCTTTAAACAGCCAAGAGACACTCGAAGAACTTCCGTTGCCGCAAATCCTTGTCCAGTTCGTCCTCCAAAGTGTCTTTATCTGTTGCAGCGCGATGCCATTGTGAAGAAAAGTCCAGAATTGATTCGGACCTGCGCATCGGAACTCACGGCGCACGACTCCTTGTATATCAGACACAAAATGCTAACAAAACCGCGCCTGTCCAACCTGCCCATTTCGGACAGGTGCTGTATCAAGACCTCAGGTTGCACGAGAACGCCCTTCCTGAGTCTATGCGATGAATTACACATGGCTGGGTTGGACGAAAGCAGAACCGCACAAAGCTCCCTGCTCTGGGACTTCTGGTCTGCAAGGAAGTCACTCGCCACTCCATGAGGTCATCCACCTTCGGGTTCTTCCACTGGGGGATGAGCCCATCGTCGCAAGCCGCTATGCAGCCGCTACTTTTACAGACAGGGCACGGAAAGGTACGGCAAGAGATTGAGCCTCAAGACTTGCTCACTCGAGGCGTCCTCTGCATGTGTTCCTCCTCCCTGCTAATTTGGATGCCAAGTTGCAACACGTCCCCTGAGGGGTCGAACGGGTCCAAATCCCCGCCGCACCTTACTGCAAGTCTCAGAAGGTAGCTGCAGCAGGCGGATGCGACAAAGGGCACAGAACAATATCTGTGCAACTCGGCAGCTCTCCCAGGCCATCCTGCGATGAGCCCGACCGGGTGGAAGCAGAGCCCCAGCTCTTGCGCTTGAGCTCAGCCTTCCGCAGGCGGCATTCCGAGGTTAGAGCGGGTGCGCTGCCGACTCACGGAGACCTTGACATCCCTGGCAGTGGCTGCCAGAGCATCTTTAGCAGACCTGGGCTGCAGGCACCCCATGCCCTGAAAAGCAAAACTTAGAGAGACTCAGAAACTGCACGTGCAGAACAGCTCCCGCTGTCCAGCGGACTTAAGACGAGTGTCTGCGGCTGCAGACCAAAGCTTGCATTGGTCGGCGTCCTTATCGGAGACCGCAGTCGTGACCTCAGGCCAAGACTGCCACTGCAGCTGTCGAAGCTTGCCGTGAGTCAAGGCCAGTCAAATTGCATCGCAAGCTCTGAGAACAGTGCTCACCAATCTCCGCGGCGGTGTCCAGCAAGGCAGCAGGCGGCAAAGCTGGCTGCTGTGGATGCTCATTGCGATCTGAAATTTCGCTGCACCTCACGGCAAGTCTCAGGGAGGTGCAGCAGGAGGATGCGAAGAACGGCACAGAACAGTCTCTTTGCAACTCGGCAGCTGCTCTTCCAAGCCATCCTCCCATGAGCCCGACCGGGTGGAAGCGGAGCCCCGAACCAGTGATCTCAGGCCATGCCACTGCAGCTGTCGAAGTTTGCCGTGAGTCAAGGCTAGGCATCTGACTAGGAGCCATGCGAAGAGTCAGATTGCATCATAAGCTCTGAGGACGGTGCTGACCACTCTCTGTGGCAATGTACACCAAGGCAGCACCCGGAAATGGTTGTGGGCACTCATTGTCTGAAAGTTCGAGGCACCTTACTCCGTTCGTCGGCGGAGCGGTAGAGCATAGTAGAACTGAAGGCTAGCACAACAACTGAAGCAAACTGCCTGGACGCAGCATCGCCTGCCGAATCCAGCTGCTTCGAGAGCTCCAGTGCCAGCTGCTGCACAAAAAACAGCTGGACCGTGTGCTGGTACTGCCTCGGAGACGAGCTGAACCATCACAGCATCACGGTCTTGCAAAGCATCGCTCACGTGTGCCAGGGCACGTCCAGATTTGCAGCTGCTGCAGGACCCCGGAGTGATGGCACATCTCAAACGACGTGCTGCACATCTGTCCGAAAGAACCTCTCTTGGCTAGGGCTGCAGCAGATCGCAGGAACATGGTGTATCATCGTATTGTCATGTGCGAATGCTGAGATCTGTGTTGCTCAGCGTGCACTAAGTGCTGCATGAGCCAGCTGCGGCCGTCAACTTGCTAAGGCATATGCAGAAATATGCAAGGGCACACCATTGCTCTTTCCGCGAAAAACGAGAAATTCCTGCCTGATAGCCAATGCCCCCATGTGCACCATCGTGCTGAGGTATGTTTACCACACCGGTGTGTTGAAGGAAACCTGAGTCACAAGAGCGCGTTCCCGGCATGTCGACCTTGGACAGATTCTGCTCTCCTTCGATCCGTCATCAACTTGGCATCTGCCTTCACAAAACAAACCTGCACAACTCTGATCCAACGACAAACGGCCAAATTCCAAAGCTTTCATGAGGCAAAGCCAATCCGACAAGACTATCAGCCTGCCCGCCTTCATCTGATTATGTCCGCCCTAGAGCAGAACTTGAGGAGCGAGCGTCCTGCTTCACAGCCCGTGGCTGACCCGCCGAACTACACCTCAACCTGGCAATCGGCTGTCAGTTGCAGAACGAAGGAACCGATCATTCCACAGACCACCTGGTGCGAAAGCAGCTTCGTAGGCATGTCCACCATGTCTGCATCCTCCATACACAGGAGGCTCAGGCTCAGTCAATGTCAACCGTGGCTCGAGGGACTGGCTTGGATGCCACGATGTTGTTCTGTGTCGACAATCGCCCTGGACTGCGAAGATGCACTGAACCTAGGTGGCTCTGACACGATGCAATATTAAAATAATGCTATACGATGCGCAAGCGAGGCTGAGGACTCCGAGGAGCAGAAGACAAAGATGAGGACGGGTATGGCGGGGATGACGGCTTTGATGCTTCATGACGATGATTCAGCTGTTGGCCTGCTGCGGCTGATGGCGGCGGAGGCGGTGGCGGTGGAATATCAAAATGAGAATGGAGGAGCACAGAACAAGGATCACGAGAACGAGGATCACGCGAATTTCACGGAGCTAACCTAAACGGACTACGAGCACTGTTGTAAGCACTGGATTCGTGCGCCACGTAAGCAGTAGTTTTGGTTGATGGATGCACAACGCCACCGCAAGACACAAAGCAGTATGCTAACGATGGCTCCCCGCAAGGTCGTGCTGGAAACTACTTGCGGCGTGCGACGGCAACATCAAGTCATCAAGCCCATCAGTTCGGAGGCTGAGGCTCTGGCCGTGGCCGGCCCTTTTGCATCACCCGGATCTGACGACAAACATCTCCCTACCTGTTCGTCCAATTCCGAGCCGGCGCACTCTGGCAGGAAAGTGAGAAGCCTCCGCTGGCGCTCTCGCTGCCACAGCACGCCAGCTGCGAACATCATCTGCCACCAATAGTTCAACGGACATTGGTTAATTACCAACCAACATCGGCATCGCGAGTTCACACTGCAGACCGAGCCTTGCATCGCAAACGAGACGTACTCCGGGACAGGCTGGCACACCAGCCGGGTGCTCACAACACTCAGGCCGGCTTCGCTAGTGTTTGAGGGTGTGGTGCGTTGGACCGACGCCCGCGAAGCTGAAGATCTGATGATGAAGAAGCAGATGATGATGAGGATGAGGATGAGGATGCTGCAGATTAAGATGAAGATAAAGATAAAGATGCTGGTGGTGTTGATGGTGATAGTGGCGATGATGGGGGTGATGATGATGATGATGATGATGAAGATGACGATGATGAACTGGTTGATGATGATGGTGGTGGTGAGGCCGGCGGCGGCAGTGGCGGTGGTAGCTCGTATCGTGTAATGCTAGTTCCTGGTACTTTACCGAAAGATTAAAAGGAGGATGAGACAAGACTCACGAATTTCAGGACCATCTACGGCAAAGAGCATGCAACTGGCACGCAATGCTACTGAGACTGGAAGTGGTGCTGACCTTGCATCCGATATTAGCGGCACAAAGGGTGCGATTCCGATTCCTGTCCAACGAACGATGAAACAGCGGAGGACAAGAGGCACACGAGGCACCCCTCTTGAAGCACAAACATGGTGGCAGCTCAATTGAAATCTGTGCCGCCCGCCTGATGCCCAGTCCAGGCTTTCACCATGTCGCTCAGCTCGTAGTACCCCGGCTCCTGAAAGTGCCCAACATGCGGAGGTGTGTGAATTTCGATCCTGAACCCCGGTCCTCCAAGCCCTCCAAGATCTTCATGCAACTCCACTCGCTTACAAAACGGTGGAGATGGCCTTGCAGTGGAACAACCTGGCGAGCTGCTCGTGCCAATGCGCTCAGGCTAAATTTCGTTTCAGAGTTAAGGAGCTCTGTTCTTATGATCTTGTGATGGCCTAGGAAGGAACTTCTTCTTGCAGTCGCACAGGCCGAAACCTTGGCTGTTGGGTAACCGATCCTTCCACGTGATGCGACACAGTGACTGAGAGACTACCCTGAGGCGAAGTCCATCAGATTGCAAAGCCAACAATGCAGAGACAGCAACAAGTATGCTGTCAAAGCTGCCTGTATGTTTGCAACGAAATGCATATGTCGAACATTTGAGCAGAGCGTCGGATGCATACCGTGCTGTGTTTGTGTCACCGCCGTCTGCAAGGTAACAACCAGTTTCAAGATGCTTCGGTTCACCTATCAACTCAGAAGCATGGACCTGGCAAAAGAATCAACACTTCGATGTAGCCGAAAAAGCCCCGACCAGCGAACTCCAAAGGTTTGGGTGCGGGAATGCAGTCATGGGCTTGAAGAGATGGACAACATCGGCTGGGCGTGACCGAAAATCTTAATAACAAAAAAAATCGCAAACCTCGCTAACGACCTGCGACCTGCATACAGAGGCGAACATGACATGACAAGCTGTGTTTGCAAATATTGAAAACAAAAAAACATCTGGAAAGGTGTTAAACTCAACAAGACACAACCCACACGAGGCCTACCGCAGAGAATGCTAGTAGGCACGCACTCCTTTTTAGTCATGTCTTGAGCCAAATAAGATCGTAACATTCAAGGTGAAACATGTACTTTGAGCCTACGGCGTAAGGCCTAGCAGCTATGCTTTACTACACCACTACTAGGTGCTTAGGGGTCGATATTTCTTAACCCCCTTCGCCGTGCACTGGTAGTGCGGAAGGCGGGCCCTCTCGACCGGCGCCAAAATGGTTTCATGCCGGGAGTTAGGGCGTGCGAGCGGAGGCTGCGGCACGAACGCTCGCGCTCTGTTGCTTGCGGGCGCTAAAAAGGCTGCCCCCCTTAGTCGTTCGGACTGGCGATTTAGGATCAAATGATAACAGACGCATCTTTGGGATGCGTTTCTGGAACCATACCAACCTATTCGGAACCGGTTGGCGCAACCAAGCTGCCCCTGTCACAGAGGACTGGGCGGTTTGAGCAGACTGCGGCCCCTACTTCTTAGAAGATTTGGGCGCTGCTCCTGGCTTTGATGACAACACGCGCTTGTCAACAAGCTCTTTTTGGGCATCTTTGTGCGTAGCCCCAACAAGCGGATTGCATTGTCCCACTTAGCGGGTGGAAGCTGCTTCGTGAAACTGTCTGCTGCTTGAAGGTTGGTGTCAATGTAGGAGATATCAACATGCTGGTGATGAGGATTTTCATCATCCTGAGGCGGCGTCCTCTTCCGCGCCAGCGGGTGTGTTTCCCGTGGCAGAGACACCTGCGCCTGCTGGAAATCGTGCTGCCGTCACGCCTGCCGACTCCGAGCCGTCCACCCAGTCCTTTCGCGAGATCCATGGATATCCGATTGCCGTTGCAAGGCGAAGGAATTGGCCAGCAGACCGAGTTTGGGTCTCCCATGCTGGATGTTGCTTCCATCGTCTGAAGTTCTTCAAGCTTGATGATTGCGATCGGGTGAAATGCTACGTTCGCCAGGATGCCGAAAGTCGCGGATACCGCGCATGCAAGAAGTGCAATCCTTGAGAATCGGTGATAAAGCCTCTCTTGAGTGCTGCTTGAGAATGCTCTTGATGCGATGTTGCTTTGGTGTCTGCACTCTGCGTGTCGACACTATGGGGCATCTTGTATATACGCTTGTACAGTAGCTTGGATGCTCATGTTGCTGGGCCCTGGGCCCTTGACGACTTCTGGCGTTTCCAATCTTGAGCATATTCTTTGTTGCCTTCTTGAGTGTGCATATGGTGCATTTTGCACCATCAATACTTGTGACGCGTGCCATTTTGGCAAACCCGAGACTGTGTGCACTAGGACTAGGAGTGCACTGCTGACACGTGCTGTAGCGATGATGCATACCGCCACTCCCGAACCTTAATTAGGAGGTTCTAATCATTTTAGTCGTGGGCATAGTCTTCCTTCGGCTGTTTTGCGTACAGGGCAAGCACTTTCTTGATTATCAAACGGTGCTTGCATGATCCCGCATGAATTGCGCCATCCTCGTTTTGCTTGAAGTCAGTTTCTTTCTCTTGAGCCGAACGACTTGGACCAAACAGCTGCACTTACCAAAAAGTTTCCTGAGTTCAAGTTGCACCAAGTTGGAAAGGTTTCGCACGAAGAATTTACACCGAAGCTTGCACAGCAGAACTGAAGTAGCACACGAGGCTCGCACAAACACTTCTTCCCAGTACGGCCGAAGATTTGCGAGTCTGCGAACTGGCACCTACCCCTGAGCCTGAGAGCCTCGTGATGTGGCAACCTCCCTGACTCAAGCACTTTGCCCACGAACGCCTTGATCTCGGAGACCCGCTTTGGGCTTTGCAGTGTTCCTGAAGCTTATGGTGCCATCGAGGCATGCACGTAGATCAACCATGATACCAAGCGCCTGGAAACACTCGGAAAAGTCATTTGCTTTTTCACCGGATTCGGCAAACGCCCAACCTAAAAGTTTGAACATTGCCGTCACTGCCGCCTCTGCCGATGCAGAGCACCCTGTCGTTGCAAAAGTGACAAAGTCGTCGAAGAACGACGACCAAGGCAAGAGTAATGCCTTTGCACCAAGAAACCACAAGGAATGACTAATCCTAAGGAAAGCGTAGACTGCCATTGCTGATCCGAACGGCATGGCTTTCATCCTAAAGTACACACGCTCATTCGTGTCAGGATGCACGAAACAGACGTACGCCGCCCAGGCTGTGTCTGGGTGGACTGGCATCTGCCTGTAAGCTGCAGTAAGGTCAAACGCCTTGCCCAAGATTTTGAACAAGCCCTTTCCTGCTCTCTTTTTGATGGATTTCAACAGCCGAAGACAAGTGGATGCGACCACGTCAGTAGACTGGGGTTGCGGCGCCTCATAGGCCTGCACTGCCAGGTTCACTCCCGAAGAAGTCAAATTGTCAATGCACCTGACCTTCTGACCTTGCTGGATCCCAAACCGTCGGCTCACTAAGATCCCATCGCACAAGCTGGACTCGCACAGGGGACCAACAATCCATCTTGCTTCTCGCTCCTTCTCGGTCTTGGAGAAAACTTCGGCTGCTGAGGCGGGGTCCTGGGGCTTAAGGGAACTTTTGACCTTTTCCCGAAAAGCATGAGACTCTTTCCTCACCTGCTTTGGCGTGGCTTGCATGGGCTTGAACTTCGGTTTGGAGACTCCCGAAATGGGCGCATGTCCCACCAACGGGACTCCCTCCTTGAGAAGGCTCGGCACACACTGGTTCAAATACGAAACGCATTTTGCATTCCCCCCAAAAGCATAGCTCAAAAGTTCCAGTCGCGTGCTCATAGGAAATCGGTATATATCAAAAGCGATCACGAAACGCACATGTATCAAAGTGTAATCAAATATGATTCCAATCCAATATAAAATACATCACATACCGAACTCCCTCCACTCGCCCTATGTTTTGTGCAGTGGCGGAAATCGCAGATGTAAGATCTGAAAGCATCTGGAATCTCGGTTTAATCAAGGCCCCATTGGGACCCAGACAAACCAGGAAACCTCCTGGAGGGACTTTGTCCCCGAAGAAAAGCGCAGCGAATGGTCCAGAGACATTCGTCCAGAATCGACCGCAACGACGTGTGGTCTGCGGAAGACAGAAGACTAGCTGTACCTATACGCGAAAGCAGCTGCAAGATGCATACTGAGAGCCGGCTCCCACAATAGGGAGTGGAGGGTGGGCAAATCAAAAACGCAACAGCTCTCTCGTGAGCCGGCTTCGCTGCGGCATCCGATAAAGATGCGAAAAAGGGCTCCAAGGAAACATGACATGCCGCATGCCAAAAAAGGAGGGAATACAAAATCGCACCGGGCTCGCAGGCCAAAGCAAAATGGTTTGATATTTAAACAGGATCGAGTAAACACGATAACCGTTCAAATACGAAACGCATTTTGCATTCCCCCCAAAAGCATAGCTCAAAAGTTCCAGTCGCGTGCTCATAGGAAATCGGTATATATCAAAAGCGATCACGAAACGCACATGTATCAAAGTGTAATCAAATATGATTCCAATCCAATATAAAATACATCACATACCGAACTCGCTCCACTCGCCCTATGTTTTGTGCAGTGGCGGAAATCGCAGATGTAAGATCTGAAAGCATCTGGAATCTCGGTTTAATCAAGGCCCAAACAGCAACTGCCACAGCACAGAAACATAGGTGGAGGAATCGCCATGCACGCCCCACAATTAAGTGAGACGAACACCTATGGAAAAGAAGGTGCATGCATTCAGATTTCAGGAATCGTTCAGGCGCTCTGATCAGAGCTCATCGCGGCAGCTTCCAAAGCAGCTTGGCATCGGCTGGGAAAAGCCGCACATCATGACGTAGATCGAAGAAATCCGCGACTGTGAAGCGGTATCTGAAGTCGGGATTCCATGGTGCCGGCAAAGGGCTGACACCATCCCACCTGGACAGGAAATCAGCGTCAATGTTACGCTCACCCGCGATGTGTTGCACATCCAGACTGATCCCCATGCGAGTGCTTATCATCGCCACCAGTTGGGTAAAGAAACAAAGAGGCGACTTCGTCGTCAGAAGCTTCGCACAGATAGACTCCGCACCAGAATTGTCGCAGAACGATGGAACGCAAATTCTCATACGCCCGCCTGGGCACAGGTGCCCAAAGAGAAGCATGAGGCCCACTTGAGCCAATGTTTCCCAGCATGAGATGTCCTTCTGCGATTCGGAATGCAGCGGAAGTTCCAAGTACTTGAAGTCGGCCAGATCGTAACGCTCGGAGAACCACAAGGAATCCGAGCCCGGCAACGTGATGAAGCCGCCAATGCCGATCGAAGTAC